ATCTACCTTTTCCTGACTAGCAGTTTTAAGCTATCTATACATACAGAACATCTCCATTGCTGACTGACACTTTTTACTCATACTACATTATTCATCTGAGCCTTTGCTGTAGGAATAGGGTACTCCCATACTGGTCTCTCAAATCCCATAGCAAAAGGAAGCTTATGAATCATGATGTCTTGAGGTGCAAAGTGCTTGTCAGCAAGGAGGACTGAACTAATGAAATCATCAGCTGTGCAAAATCTGTGCTAATGAGAACTACAGAACTGAAAGTGAGCACTGTTTCATAAGAAAAGGTGTTAAGTCTCAGTAAGCACCAAAGTGAATAACAAATGGATACGAAATTCTGATTTATCTTAGAATGAAAAAGTTTGCTACTTCAAAATTTTAAATGTCAAACACAGTCCTATTAGCAATCACAGTGTTCTGTGTTCTCAACTCTGTATTCAGCACGTGTATTGGTATCTTTCATGTAATTATAGAATGTGCTTTAATTTCTTTTCCCTTACCATTTAAGACAGCTATGTTGACTTACTTCTGTTTGTAAATAAGTGACTCGTATCATACAAATCTCCAGTATTTCTTGGAGATGTAACTACCTGTTCTGTGTATAAAAACAGGCATTTACTAAAATGACAGTCCAGATTTATTTTAGTCATTATCATATGTGAGATATTTACCGTTCCATGCTCAAAATATTTGTTCTGCATAATGTTACAGAAGAGCTCAATCCTAAAATACTAAATTACAAGCAGTATTCGGCTTTTCCCATGAGTAGTGACAACTGAGCCAAGCCCTGGCATGGAGCTCTACAGACTTTGGGAATATTGCTATTGAAAAGTACTCTTGTGAGGAGTGCAATTAAGGATTTTATCAGATAGAAGGCAGGAGGCAATTTCAAGAGGCAAAAATCTCAAAAAAGCAAGAGTTCAAAATAACTTGTCTTCCTTACATTCTGAAATGAGGTGGAGTTTTTGCTCTCTAAATGTAACTTAGCAAAGTGATTCAGTGGAGAATCTATTGAATCTTCTGTGAATCTATTTGTATTCCCTCAGAGCCAAATGAATTATGTTCAGATGTTAGGTACATATGCATTTATAAATGATGGTTGGGGCATATAAAAGAAAATGCAGAACTTCACACGTGCTTTTCTCTTTGAAAGTTGCTTTTAAAGGCAGTTTGTATTTAAATGAGGACGAAGACTATGCACTTGGATTCACTATCAAATTCATGAATGTAAGCCACAAATTTGCAAAATATGCTCTTTATTGTTTGTTGGTATAAGTGTACAAGTGTATGTTCATTTCTGTTGCATTTTAGAGAGCAGGAAGAAAGTTTCTGTATTACACTTAAAAGTATAGATTTTTTATTTCACTCTTTGGGAGAGGAACACTGATATGCAAAAAAAAAACAAAACAACAACAACAAAAAAAAAAAACCAACAAAAAGAAGGCTTTCTCATCCTTTCTATAAAAAAAACCTCCATCCTTCCCGCTTGAGAATGTTATAAAAAAAAATTCTACTGCATACAGGAATGCATTTAGTTTCCAAGTTACAGCTTGGGAAGTTGTATTTCTAAAGAGATGGGGAACAAAGCAAAACTGTGTTTTCCTGTTTCACGTTTTGGAGGAAAATCTTTGTGTTTGTTTTTAATACATGAGGAAAGGAAGTGCACAGAACATCTGCTGAACTTATGCGAAGCTTTGAAGTCCCAAGTTCAAGTTTCTACTAAAATGAATGTTTCTTTAGCATAAGCAGGGAAGAATGGGTATGATTCCTACTGCAAGTCAGCAGGTAGCTTGGCAGTTAAGGTGATGTAAAAGACTGGATCAAAAATCTCGCCTGAATGGGGAAGAACTGAGACTTGAATCTGACCCACCCAACACTGTCAGACTCTTCCTAATAATTACAGTCTCTCTCAGAAATTGCATGTTTGCTAAAACCTTTCTACCAAAGCTAGCATAGGGAAGGCTGCTGGTTTCAATACTTTGACCTTTTCAAATGAAGGACCGTTCTGCTGAAATGTTACTAATTAATTTTACAGCAGTTTCACTAACGTGTAAGAAATTAGTTGTTTGTTGTAGCTTAATAAGATTTATTGTTTTCCTTTTTACAAAGAATACCTAGAGGCAAAATATACAAAAGTTAAGGTGGTGAAGTCAATATAAGTTGGTAATGAATACCCTAACACCCTGGAATTTCTAATACCAAAAAGTAATTCAAATTTATAATGTAGCAGCTTTCACAAAGACTGAAAAACTTTTTGATTAAAATTTTATATCCTTTTAAAACTGAGCATAAAAGTGAGACTCACAGCAGCCAAAGCAGGCTTCGAATTTTTTTAATGCAAAACCAAACATACGGCCTGGCAGTATTTTTGAAGTGTTGCTCTTTTAAAAATAAATAGGGTAGGACAGAAATATTACAGATCTGTAACAATTCCCTCAAAGTTTCTTCATTTGGACAACAGATATGAAAGCAATACAGAAAGCAAACAGCACCAACAGCATCATGAGTTGCCTGCCATTGATTTTTTATTTTTTTTTTAATCATTGTTATTAACTGATACTAACTTGCTTAAGAAATTAGACAAAATTACTACTCATGTTTTGTGTTTCACTCAGAGTTGATTTTAGTGATTTAATCTCGCCTTCAATCTGGAGAAGTGTTTGTATGTGTGTGTGAAACGCTTCCTTTCACCGAAGGGATCTCCAAGAGTTGTATCATGAATGAGAAATTAGAACGCATAATTTCACTATTGAAATGTGGTTACCTATTGAGTACAGAATTACTTCCATTTCTAACTTCAACTTGCATATCACTGAAGTGCATCTTTACATATGCAGCTACTTCCCTTAAATTCTGTGGGCCTGATGCCTAGCTATCTGATGCTCAGATGCCTAGCACTGGCAACAGTCTGTTTTAACATCATGTACAGCAGCTGAATTCATACAGTCCACCTCACATCACACAACGAGGGTGAGGAAATCTGGTCGGTAACACGGACTGCGTTCTCTATTTCGAACAGCACAGGCAGACAGGATTGTGATGCTGAAGGGTTTATCTGAGGTTAAAGTCCCAGAAGCCTGAAGCTTGGTCACCATGGAAAGACAAAAGTTTGTATTGTCTGCCCAGATCACAGCAGTTCACATCTCCAAACACTTCTTCAAAGTGATTCCTTATTCTTTGCAGGAGCATTCATAAATAAAATTATTCTGTTAAGAACTGCTAGGCATGGTGATTAAAGAAATGCACCCTCAAGAGTAGGTCCACAGAGGGAGAACTTCACAGAGAAGGATGGCAGCACCTCAGTGCAGTATTAGATGAAAAGAAAGAACATCTACAGAGGTGTTTTTCTTTTTGGCTATTACCTCTTTATAGACAGTAAAATGACATGGCACATTTCCCTGAAAAGCTTTGATAAGGATATAGTAGTTAAAACAAAGAAAACTAGAATTTCTGCCAAAAATAAGCCTATGCTGTAAGTGTGTATTCCTGCGGAGCTTCTTTCTGACTTGGGAAAGTGCCTTCTAAGTAAGAAATTCACTCTGGATTCAGGAAAGTTGAGTTCTCCCCCTGGCCTCTGCTGGGATCTTTGTTCTTGAAGCATAGTTGATCATTTCATTCCGTCTTGTTTTTATTTACCGTTTTCTGTCCTTTGCAATTAGGACTTAAACTCTCCCTTTGTCTCATATGTTTTGTAAAACGTCTGGCATAAAGGGCCACTTATCTCAACTGACCTACTAAGTGCTGCTGTAATACAAACAACGATGCGTCCAGACTTGACGGTATTTCACCTTAACGTGATGCAAGAGGCTGCTGCACTCTAATTTGGCAGAGAGGAGAAACAAATTTAGAATATGAAAATGGGAATAGCAGAGGAAAGGACAGAGCTGTTGTTGGGGGGGGAGGGGAAAGTAGTACAGGAAAATAAATTCAGTTTCTCATAAAATCAGTTGGAGGCTCAGATCTGGAAAGTGCTAGTTGCTTTACTTGGCAATCATTTACAGGCCCATCTGTGGCATTTGCCCACACAAAGGAATATCTGAGGGCGAGCAAAAGAAGTTTGTCGGCCAATGGATTCATGCATTGGTGGCTGCCAAAAAACTTCTGAGCTGTAATCTCTCCTTTTGTCTGCTGACAAATATGCATGCGTTCTTCACAGCTTCTGTTAATGATCCACCCTTGCAGACCTTCTCTAAAGTGAAATTTAAAGGAGATGGTCGATAGTTGCTATCTACAAAAATATCTTAGCTTTTCCCGTGTGCTAAATCTTAAAAAAAATCACCGTAGAGCTGTTCAATTAGAAGTTCCTCCTCTCAATAGCTCCTCCAGCTAAATGGAATGAGGGAATTGAGGGGCCACTGAGACCTGGCTGCGCCCACAGCAGACATTTGTTTGCAGCGCCGTATACGGCATTTCGGTTCGGGATATGCCGGTGACTTGGAGCAATCTCTCCCACCAGAACCATGGGAAACGGCTCCTCTCACAACTGCTGGGTGCTGCGAGTGAGTGGGAAGGGATTAAAGCAGCCGTGTCAGGAGCCGTGCTGACAGGGACAGGAAGGCGAGGGCTGTGTCAGCACGCAGCGCTGTGTGTGTGTGTGACCGACGTGTTGCTGAGAGCGGCAACAGCCGCAGCTGGTTGGGTCAGCTGGCAATGCAGGGTAATTTGCAGCTGAACTTCAACTGGAAACAAAAAAGGAAAAAAAAAAAAATGTCCCGGGAAGCTCCGAGCCTGGGATGGGGACTGGGTGCCTGTTTCACAACACGGCCCTCCGGCTGCCGCGTCCCCTCAGTGCAGTGAAAGCTACCCTCGCCACCCCCGTCCCAACGGCCGCCTCGCGCCCCGCCCCGCAGGGGGTTTTAGTGGGGGGGGTGCGGGGGGTGCGGGGGGTGAGGGGCGTGGCCTCGCGCAAGGCCCCGGATGGAAGCGGCGCGGCGCGGCACCGCGTGACCCCTCCCTGTCCGGAAGTGCGGCGGCAGCGGCTGGGCTGTACGGGAGCCGCGGCGTACCGGCGGTGAGCTCGGCGCGGTTCGGTGCGGGCAGCGATGCGGCTCCGCTCCCGTCTGACCTCGTCTCTTCCTCCAGCCGTCGGCCGTCGGTGACCGCCACGCCTTCCCCCGCCTCGGCGCTATGAGAGCCTCCGCGCTCCGGTACGTAACGCCTGAACGGCGGGAGGGAGCAGGGCGGCGGGGGGCGGGAGGGAGGCCTTTGTTGCGCGGAGGGGCGGGCCCGGTACCCTGCCCCGGGGCAGCGGCCTGCGGGCCTGAGGGAGCGGCAGCGGGGCCTCCCCCGGTAGTGCGGGTAAAGGGGGCCCGGTTCGGCCCCGCGGAGCTCCCCGTGCGGCTTCGTGTGCGCGCGGGTGGGATCCGTGCGTGCGGTTGCTGACCGGTGCGAAGCCGTCCTGCGGGGAAGTTCCCGTCTCGCAGCAACAGCTGGGCTTGGGGGTGCTGAAAAAACTTGGTGGAGGTGAAATAACAGCGAGGGTTGTGCCGGTGGTGCGGCGTGCCCCCATCTTACACATGGGCAGGAAGTGCGGCTGAGCGGGGCTGGGTTTCACCCGGTGATGTCATCTCGTGAAATCCGCCGGTGAATCAATGCGTCAGTGAACGTCAGAGGAGGGAAACGAGGAGGCAGAAGTGAAACAGAAGAGCTCCCGAGGCGCTTCAGCCTTCGGCCGCATTGTAGCGGGCGCGGATGTGCAGTTAGAAAGGCGGCCGCGCTTCGGGAAGGTGTTCCTAACTTTTGACACGGTGTCAGGAGTTACAGGAATGGCGTTTGAACAAAAAGGATTGTTTCCAACCTCCTGCCGGGAAGCGCTGTGGGACTCCAGCTGGGTCGTTCCTTGCTCTTATCAGCTCTGCAGAAGGCGTTATTTTGATAGCTATTCCATATGGTTGGGAGGTTTTGTGCCACAGCGGTGCTAAGGCTCTTTGTATGGCTGCTCAGGTGTTTTTAGTGCTTTAAAACAAACACCACCACATTTCTTCATTTTGTTTTTCGGTTTCTGCTGGATTTTTTTTATTTCAGGAAGTAAAATATGCCTTTATAAAAGGTTACTGCTACCTTACCAGTCACTGTAAAGTAAAAATACTTGAAAGTACTGTTATCTGCTTTCTCCACCTGGTCACAGAATCACAGAATGGCCAGGGTTGGAAGGGACCTCAAGGATCATGAATCTCGAACCCCTCTGCCACATGCAGGGCCACCAACCTCCCCATTTAATACCAGACCAGGCTGCCCAGGCCTCCATCCAACCTGGCCTTGAACACCTCCAGGGACGGGGCATCCACAGCCTCTCTGAGCAGCTGTTCCAGCACCTCCCCATTCTCAGAGTCAAGAACTTCCCCCTGACATCCAACCTGAATCTTCCCTCCCTCAACTTAAAACTATTTCCCCTTGCCCTGCTGTTATCAACTCTTTCAAAGAGTTGACTCCCCTCCTGTTTATAGGCTCCCTTTAGGTACTGCAGGCTGCGATGAGGTCACTCTGCAGCCTTCTTTTGTCCAGGCTGAACAAGCTCAGCTTCCTCAGCCTGTCTTCACAGGGAGGTGCTCCAGTCCCCTGATCATCTTTGTGGCCCTCCTCTGATGTCCTACACATGTCCTTCTGACATGCGTAACTGGGACAAACCTGGATGCTTGTGAAGGATTTCCAGTGTGTGCCCTTGTACCTAATTGGCTATTAGAATCCCAGAATTGCTCAGGTTGGAAAAGAGCTTGAAAGTCATCAAGTCCAACCAGAATCTGACTGTATTAATCTTAACAAGCCTTCGCTAAATCATGTCCAGGAAAATCAGACTGAGAAGATTGCTTTTAATTAGTGTATCAACCTGATACTTGAAGATTTTATAGGTACCCAATACTCCATGATTGGATCCATGATTCTTAAGATTTTTTCCAGCCTTAGAGATTCTATGATTCTATGAAAGCGAATTTAAATTTAAAAAATGTCAGTGTTGTGTCATTCTCTCTTGTATCTTTTTAGGTCACTACGAATACTAAAGCACTTTGTCTTAGGAATCGCAGTTGGTGGATGTGGTTAAGGAAACACCAAATCAGCTGATAGGCTGCACTGTCAATGATGGGCTAATGTAACAATACACTGATACATCAACTGGTGTGAATTGCATAGCTGCAGAAGTCAGTGATCATGGTGAAGTTGGAGGAACATGCAATCCTTTCCTGACTCAACAGGGGTGGTCCTCATGCTGAAGAGGAAGTAAAACCCAATAACTAAACACTGTTTTGTCATGTCTTGCACTCCCAGGTTTTGAGGGTAAAGTAGGAAGCCCTTGCCTTCCTGGCTGTCTGATGTCTTGGAGCTGTTGTTCCTGGCTTGAGGCTGTGATAGAGTTCTGCTTCGTCCTCTCAGAGAGGGCTGTTCAAGAGGTTTCCATATCATTGCTCATGGTTCTTTCCTCCTTCTTTAAAATACTTACGTATTCACATTAGATTTCTTTCTCCGCTTTGATTTCTTGAGAAACTTCCCAGTCTGTTTCCGTATGGCTCTTTGTCCCAGCCATCCCAAAAGGAATCTCTCAGGAACCCTAGCTTCAAATGAAAAGAGGAAATCTCCACGTAGTTTGTGCTTGATTGAGAACTTCTGCTGCTGTGTGAAGTGTAGAGGGAGATTCATAATGGCAGTTTTGTTGTTTCTGAGACAGGGTGGCCACTTGCTGTTGTTGGATGGCTTTAAGTAGTGTGTGTACTATGTTATATAGCATGTGTATTGCAGTGCACAAAGGCTTCAGTTTTTGTAGTGCTTTTATCTGTTCCATCCGTGTGCTTTGGCAGGACTGTGATCAGTAGTGGAACAAACTTAGGCAAAAAACCCTTCAACTTTCACGATACCGTTTTGCTTCTTTAATAGCTTTCTTCTGTAACCTTTGGTAACCAGCTTTAAATTTGTTCTTTGTTGGCTATAAAGGTTTTTATATGTTCTTTGTCTGAATGCTTGCAAAGAGATTCCTTCTATCTGCCAGTGTTCTTTTACCAGTATTTGCATGAAGCATTTAGGAAATGTAGTGGAAAGTGGAATGCTCCTGCTGTTTCACAGACTCATTAGCATGGAATAATCTAGGGAGATCATACATACGGATTTCCTGAATTACCTGAGTGAGTTACTCGTGATGCTACCTTGCATCTCCCCAAAGCCATTTATCTTTTTTTTTTTTTTTTTTTTTTTAAATGTTTGCTGTTCTTTGTTGATCACTACTCTTTTTCATTTTGTGGAAGTCCTCAGCAAAAGTGACACAAACCCAATTTAGTATGTTGTCCTGCTTCGCAGTTGGAGAATTTGACAGTTGCTTCAGCGGAAAAAAACTGTCGTCTTTTCCATGCTGCTTGTTCAGATGCTCAAGATGGACTAACTGATTTTAAGTGGACTTTGTGTAGAGGTGAATGCTAGGTGAGCAGAGGAGAGGTTTTCTGTGGTGAGTCTTTATAAAAGAAGCTCCTATACATACTTAGATGCTTTTAACAACTTTTTTTTTTTTTAGCATTAGAAATATCTAATGTGCTTTTCCTGAATTCATTTCTGAACGTACAGAATGAAACTGAGAGGATCAGGGGACTGGAGCACCTCCCCAACGAAGACAGGTTGAACACTAGCAAAGTGGTTATATGCTTTTTGTGAGTGTATCTCTGTGAAAAGCTGTAGCTTGCTTAGCTAGTAAGCTGTGTTTGAAGCTCAGGTTTGATCTGTTCTCTTGCTGTATGATTTCTGTAGAATGCACAACTGCTTAGCCTTTAATTAGTGTTACTTTGTGGGTTCAATATTGAACAGTTGGTGTTAAGTCCCATCTGCTTTCGTGGGAGTCATGTTTGCTCTCTGCACTATATTGTGACCTTCCTTCTTGAGTAATACAAACTTGAATTTGTCATTTGACATGTCATTTAACTTGCTGCTTTATAGAATGAAAAAGTAATTGTGTTGCAGGGAGAATGCAATAGAGTAGCTCTTGGCTAAGGCAGTGCTGCTGGTGGAGGGAATGTCTCCAACAGTTGGGAAACTTCCAGAGTTCACGGGGTGGGAACATCTTGTTGTACCAGCCTGTGCTGTGCTGTGGAGAAGATCTCCGGATGAAACTTGGGAGCCAGGCTTTCTCTTCTTCCTGATTGCTGCTTTAATGCTTATCCCCTCCCAGGTGCTCGCATACCAGTTGGTCGAGTCACTTCCAAGTCAGTTTTCATGCAAGGCTACAAATGGCAATGAAGGGAATGGTGGGAAGTGATGACTTGCACTTGATTTATTTGAAATGCCTTGTTTTGTTGTGTATTAAATGTTTGGAAAATTAATTATGCTTGGGTGTTAAAGGGTTTGATGTTAGTTGCCTTAAACTCAGCTGTTGCTTCCTGAACAGCTGAAATTGCATGTAGAAACAGCTCTCTCTGGCCTGAGGAATAGTTGCTGTAACTTTCTCCTCTGGTGTCATACTTTCTTGTTCTCTGTTCCATGTTGACATTTTCTTTGGAAAACTGCATTTCCCAGAAGTTTTGTTCCTGGCTTTCTTTATTCATACTCAGTTTCTAATTGATGGATCTGTTTTCTCCATTAGCATTGCCTGTGGCCTCTGAAGTGTGATCATTTGCAGTGTTCAAATAAAAACCAAACAAAATAACCCAAACCCACTGCTTTCAGTTGAAAACTGAAGACGAGTCACTTATTTTGAACACTTAGTGTATGGGTGCAATGATTCGTATTAGCTAATGATTTCTTAAAATTCTCTGGAGCAAGGACTTGTTGACTGTCTGCAGCATTTAACACAGTAAGGCTCTGAATTGCTTAATCTGTAGACATTACCTCAGCAACAAAACAGTACTCTTAAAATTGAAGAAAGTGGCACCAAACAGATGGATTCTTTGGTAACTAGGTTTATTTTCAGAGACAATTGTAATCAAAACTCTTGAAGATAAAATCAGCACAATTGTTTGGTAATGAATTTAGCCAACAAGTGCTTAATATAGCTTGCCTCAACTTCTGGGACGAAGTAATATGTTACAACATTAAACTTCCTAAACTGCTTTTAGTGAACGTCATTTACTGGCCGCACTGATACTTACGCATCAAACTGAGTAACTGTTCTTGTAAAAGAGGACAAAATGCAGTACTTCCAGCTCATGTCTCTGATGTGTGTGAAGATAATTTCAGC